TACATGGGATCGGGATATTTCTAATTTCTTCGCCAATTTACTATTATTTCTATAAAATTAGGTACCAAATTACAGAGGAATTAATGCCGGACTGACGTAAACAACAATTTTTTGTATATACTGAATATTTTTATTAAAAAAATTAGAAAGAATAATGAAAAAATTATGAATTGACTTGCCGCGCTTAAATTCCAAGATGGCCGTTATAAGGTTACAAAAAAAAAATCGTGAATTATTTATTTCCCATGTAATTTCAGTTCTGAAATGTTGTCTAGCGCAATTCTTGCAATATTTCTAAGCATTAAAAAAATTATTTCAGATGACAAAATTGGATAATTACGAAGAAATTAGAAAACTACGATTTGGGATGATTATCTTTTTGGACATTTTCTAGGCAGCTTTTCAGACATTTTGTAGACATCTTGTAGACATCATTGTAGAAATCTTTTGGCAGAGAAGAGAGACCAGTATAGAAGTTCAGTCCTTATGGGAGCTAAGAAATGTAGTCAGCATTTATAAAAATGACCGTAAGATGGCACGCCAACCCGGCATCTTGTGGCGGTTCCGAGGGAGTTCCTGTTTGGACTTGAAACGAGAAGCACGTGTTTTATTGAGCTCTCTGAATTTCCAAGCCTTGTAAGTGAATTTTCGAGTGACTGATATATTTTTTTTTGTTGGTTTTGTGGACTTCACTTTGAATCAGTGGAAACGGAGTAAAGACTAAAACTGTCGGAGGACAGTGGGTGTGACGGGGGGAGGCCATGTGATGGCGGAGAAGCAGTTGAAAATGATATAACCTATGAGGAGTTACATGCGGAGTATCAAGATCTGTGCTATGAAAGTTTATTAGTTGAGTCAGGAATGGCTAAAGAGACAAGAAAATATAAAAATAAAAGAAAGAGTGATGAGAGGAAGGAGGAGGAATTTAAAAAACATCGAACGAGAAGTAAGAGCAGAAGTCCCTTGTCTCATAAAGGTGACGAGCAAAGTTTAAGTGCAAATATGGAAGGTTCAGAAATGGAGAGTGACATTGAGATCGGCCAAGAAGTGATAAATGATAAGAGTAATAGTGGCGAAACTAGTCAAAGTTCTATTGAAGTGGCCAGTCGTACAAAAAATAAGAGTACTGAGAAGGTAAACATTCGAGGATATAACCTCAACAACAATAAGGGAAGGGATATATTGACAAACAAAAAGCAGTTTGAACAGTCGAAAACAAGAATAGAAAAAACGTTTCAGTACGAAAAGTCTGATAAAAGCCCTTTTGTTGTACAACTTAGTAAACAAAGAAATAATTTAGAAGTAAATGATAAACCTATATTGGCTTTGGAAGTGGCTCGAATATTGTTTAGAGCAGGAATTAAATATGACCAACTTGCTCCCATTTCTAAGCGGGTCTGGGAAGTTACTTTTCATTCTCGAGATGCTGCCAACCAAATGTTGAGGAATAAGTTTTTGCAAGAATGGGGCTACAACGCTTTTGTTCCCTTCTGGAAAGTTTTCAGGAAAGGTGTGATTAAAGACATTCCTATAGATTTTGAGCCAGAATTAATTACCACAGAACTCAATAATGGCAACCCAGGCTTAAATGTTGTAGAATCAGTTCGTTTGAAAAGAAGAGTCAAAGAAAGGGGTAACGTTACATGGGAGGACACCACTTCAGTGCAGGTAACGATGCGCATTAAAGAAATACCGAACGCAGTTTACTTTTGGAAAACGAGAATTGGTTTAAGTCCATTCATCCCAGCAGTCAGGAAGTGTTACAGGTGTGGCAAGGTTGGTCACTCAATAAAGTTTTGCAAGGAGGAGGAGAAGTGTCTCAGGTGCGGTAATAACAAGCATGATGAAGAAAATGGCTGCATGCTTAAATGCATCAACTGTAAAGGTTCACATTTTTCCTTGGACAGTAAGTGCCCGAAACTTCGGGAACTTTATGAGATCAGTCGCATCATTGCAGAAAAGAATGTGTCATTCCCAACAGCAAGGGATTTGTATTTCAAAAGACATTTTAATGCTCAAGAAAACCTGAGGCCTTCGGTGGACTCTTTGAACTTTCCAGTCCTGGGAAATGAGAATAGGTTCCTGGTGCATAACATTAGAAGAGATGGATCGTATAGACAGGCGGTTAGTGGTAATATTGAAAGACCAAAGGCTGATGGTAAACAAGACTCAAGACAAAGTAATCTCCAAGGTGAAGGAATTCCAACAGAGCTGAACAGCGAGATTTGCAGTTTTTTACACGAACTTAAGAAAAAAGAAGATGGAGACTGTAGTGACAGGTTGTTCAGGCGACTTAAGGAGTTAGTATTCAAGATCCCAGACGTGGACAGGTTGATCTCTAGAGTGATGAGAACAATTGAGTTGCATTTTTTATCAAACAATGGCGAATAAAGCGAATACTTTCAGATTTTGTCAATGGAATTGCTGCAGCATTAAGAGAAAGTTACCTGAATTACAATATAGAGCTTCCAATTTTGATGTGATGTTACTCTCGGAGACCTGGTTAACGGATGATGACTCAATCTCGGTCAAGGGATTTGATGTGGTGCGTAGAGACAGGGTAGGGCGCCCTGGGGGTGGAGTTGCTATTCTGGTGAGAAACAATATTAAATATAAGAGAAAACATGGTTTGTATAATTGTAACAATAACATTGAGCTGTGTGCTATAGAATTATTTACGTGTGAAGGGCCTTTTCTAGTAGTCTCATGTTACAGGCCTCCGGATCGAAATATGACGAAGGACCAGTGGGTGCGCTTTTTGAACCAATTCAGTGGAAACTTCCTGGTCACAGGGGATTTCAATGCTCATCACCAGGTATGGGGAAGTGATGCGAACTCTATAGAAGGTACAAAATTATTTGAAGCTATCGAGGAGTCGGAGGTTGGGTTGCTGAATGGGGCAGTCAAGACCTTTTATTCGCGTCAATATCGAACAGAATCCGCTCTAGATCTATCGTTCGCAAGTTGTGGGTTGTTGTCGCTGTTTGAGTGGAAGGTTAGTAGGGATACGTGGGGCAGTGACCACTTCCCAATATTTATTGACTTTGACAAGGTAGTTGAGAAAAAAGGAAGCAATCATGCTCCAAAAAGGCTTTACAATAGTAAAACTGATTGGGGGCGGTTGGTCAGGGAACTCGAATTTCGGAGTAATGAAATTAGGTCAGTTGTCCAAAACGAGGATCTCGAGATTCAGGTCAAATATACGACGTTTACAGCAATTATAGAGGACTGTGTGAATGTGGCTACACCGGGAAGGGGTGGTAGTAGGAATCTAAATACAGGGAGCAGAGTTCATAAGGAGAAAGAGCGTAGAAAAGCTGCAATTTTCTGGAATAGCGAATGTGATAAGTTGGTAAGATTACGAGTTGCTGCCTTTCTTCGTTTAAAAGAATATCCTTCGGAGGAAAATTTCTTAAAATATAAACAGGCAGAGGCTAGGGCTAAGTCGGGGATCAGAAAGATAAAAAAGGACTACTTCCGGTCCTTCTTAAATAGTATCAATAAGTTTACAAGTCCGTCGTACATATGGAAGAAGCTGAAAGCTTTGAAAAAAGGTTGGAATTCGTCGCATTGCTCGAACGAGTTTAGTGAAGAGGTAGTGGAGAGGGTGAAGGTTGGGATAGACTCTCTATGCCCATCCTGGGTAGCAAGAGGGGATCCGATGTTAGAAAATGTGGAAGGGGATGTATTTCTGGATTTGCCTATCACGGTGGAAGAATTAGAGGTCGCAATTGAGAATTCGAGGACTAAATCTAGCCCGGGGTTGGACGGGATCGATTATTTGTTGATTCAATCGTTTCCTAAAGAAGTCAGAGGGGCCCTCTTGGAGTTATACAACTCAATTTTTGCTTCGGGAATCTTCCCAAACGAATGGCGCCAGTATTCAATTTTCTTCATTCCTAAGAGTCAAGGGAACGCTGTTCGGCCAATATCGTTGGCACCTTGCTTGTTAAAAATCTTGGAAAAAATTCTGAATCTTAGAATATCATGGTGGTTGGAATTTCATAATAAGTTCCCTGAAACGCAGTTTGGATTTCGAAGAAGTAAATCATGTTTGGATAATTTAGCTATACTGAACGCGGAGATTTTGAGAGCTTTTGACAAGAAGCAGTGTGTTGGTGCTCTTTTTTTGGACATTCGAAGCGCATATGATAATGTGCTCGGAGATGTGTTACTTAGTAGACTAATTAGTGTAGGATGGCCTAAATTAATTTTGAAATTTGTGCATAACTTAGTGTCGGAGAGGGTAATATCAGTCAAATACGACACAATAGACTGTCATAGAAAAGTCTTCAGAGGGTTACCTCAGGGTAGCGTACTGAGCCCAGTTTTGTACTCAGTTTACATGATGTCTTTAGAGTCTTGGATTGTGGAGGATTGCAAAATTCTTCAATTTGCAGATGATGTATGTATTTATGCAGTTGATAAAGATCCAAAAAAAGTGTTAAAAGCTGTATCGGAGTCGGTACATAAGATTATTCCTTTTTTAAATGACAGTGGACTTGAGTTGGCTCCAGAAAAGTGCCAGTTGATTGTTTTTAGCTCCGATCCTAAAATCGCGACTAAGTCTTGGTGTATAAAAATAAATAGAGAAAGAATTTGGTCTCAGCAAGTAATTAAATTTCTGGGCATTCTGTTTCACAGCTCGCTAAAATGGGATCACCAAGTCCAAGCTATTAGGTCAAAGTGCATTAATCCTATGGCAATTATAAACTATTTAAGGTTGACATGGACTGGGGCTGATCCTCCAACGTTGATTAAGGTGTATAAAAGCCTAGTTAGGTCCAGAATTGAATATGGTGCATTTCTGTTTGTGTCGCTCAAGAAATCCCTTCTGAAAGTATTAGATAGAATCCAAAACAAAGCGTTGAGGTTAGCAATGGGGTATAGAAACTCAACTCCGCTGAATGTGATAGCTGCTGAGTCTAAAGAACCACCTTTGGAGTTTAGATTTAGGTATATGACTCATAATTTTCTAACTCGTTGTTTCTCAAACTCAAACCATAAAGTTATTGCTATCCTCAGTGAAATATCCGAACTCAGAGAGTGTCCTACCATGGTCTTTAGTACTGAAACTCCAGGGTTAGTACGTTGTTTTCAGGAAATAGAACCAATAAGTCATCTGATCTCTAGTGATTCACGCCCTAACTGCTTTAAGTTTCCATTTCAATCGATGTTCGTTCCAGCCAAGGTACATTGGGAAGAAGGAAAAGAAATTCAGGAAATTCATAAGTCCAAGCCTCTAAGTGTTGAAAGATCTTTTTGGAATTTATTCCGTGAAGAGTTTCGTGATGCCGTAGTAATTTTTACAGATGGTTCAAAGACGATAGGTAAAGAATTTGTAGGGTTCGCCTACTTAGAAGTCGCCACAAGCAGTGTGAGCCTGAACAGAACGGTTAAGTACGCTTCAATTTTCTCTGCTGAGGCCATGGCGATAATTGCAGCCTTGAAAAAATTTGCTAACACGGATTTAAATAAACTGGTTATATTTTCGGATTCTTTAAGTGTCCTGAAGGCGTTGGCCTCCATTAGATCCGCGGGTAAATTGAACGTGCTGATCGGTGAAATTAAACATTTAGTGTACAGTCTACAGGTAACTGGTAGGGTAGTAAAGTTTTTCTGGATTCCTGCACATGTAGGGATTTCTTATAATGAAAAAGTGGACTCAGCTGCGAAAGATAGCGTTATGAAGGGTCGCGACTCCCAGATTCTGCTCCCAAGCTCCGACTTCAAAGCCTTTTGGAAGGGAAAAATGCATAATGACTTTGTTAACTGGTGTAAATGTGAAGGGTTAAATAAAGGAAGATTCTACCACGAGAATTACTATTCAGAGAGCGCACTCCCATGGTTCGGTAAGTTCAATTTAGCTAGGAAACCTCTGGTCTCCATTAATAGACTTAGATGCAATCACTCTAGTCTTAAAGAAAGTCTTGCTAGATTTAATATCATTCGATCTGCTATTTGTGAATGTGGCGAAGCCGAGGAAACAGCAAACCATGTTTTCTTTCAGTGTAGTAAGTACGAGGATATACGAGCATTGTTTTGCAAAGATTTAAGGAAACAAAAATCCTTTCCTCCGTACTGCATTGAATCTATGTTACATAGTATGGACCGAGGAGTCATCTTTGCGGTGGCCAGGTTTCTGAACAGTATTGAGTTAAGTATTTAAAGATAAAGAGGTCTATTTTTTAAGGTAATCTGTAGAAACAGGAAGCAAAAGTGTCTATACAGTTATAGGTGTTACATTGAATAAGTTAAAAAGGAAAAAAAGAAAAATGTATATTTGTTTGTCGTTTATTTTTATTTTCAGTTTTTGTTTTGTTTCTGGTTCAATCATATATAAAAAATGTTATATAATATTGGAAAAATTGTTATAGAAGGTGTTAAAGAAAAATTAAATCTAATTAAAGCTAAAACTTAATGTTAAGACCAAGTTAAGGATATTGCTGTACTGTGATAAAATGGTTAAAATAAGTACAAAGCTTTTGTAAATCGCGCCAGGAAATTTAGTATAGACCATACACTGTATAGTTCTAAGTAGCAATAGTCTGTTTTTAGGATGTAAGTATTCTTTGTAACATGGTTGGTTATCTGGGCTGAGCTTGGACTCGTGATTGCCCCTACCTTTGTATCTCTTCCTTTTTTTCCAATAAAATAAGGCGGTTCCGAGAATTCGGGCGCCAAATTTGAAGATTTCAAGTACAGCCCTGAAGCAGGCGAGTAAGGCGCCAGGAGTAAGCAGCGGCCAAAAGAAGAAAGACGAGGGTATCGATGCTAGACAGCTACACGTGTGGAAGTGAAATATATTTGTTTAATTACATAAAGAAAATAATAATTTAAATTTTATAAATAAATAAACTAAATTGTTTTAATAATCGTTCTTATTCTAAGAATCCTTCTTCCCTCTGAACAAGGCTAAAAATTGGTGACCCCGACGTGATCCAAGTGGATTAAGAGACCTAACCTCAATTTTCAAAGAAATTTTTTTTGTTAACCAAGAAAATCAGGTACAATGGTAAAAGAGGACGAGACTCCTTGTGCTTCAAAAGAAGCTCCAACAACCAAAGCTAAAGGTAAAGCAAAAAAATTAAATCTGGGAGTAAAGGAAGCATTTGAAGAAGAAGAAACAGCTGTTGATGTGGACAGACACGTAATTGTAGCCAAATTACCTGCTTTCTGGAAAAATAAACCCGATTTATGGTTTATGCAGGTTGAATCCATATTTAGGTCCAAAGGAATCAGAAGTGATGTAGCGAAATATGATGCTGTAGTGGGAACATTCGACTCAGAAACAATAGAGTTGGCTACGGACATTCTCAGAAATCCACCTGAAGAGAATAAGTATGAATACCTAAAGGAACATCTAATTAAACGTCTCACGCAGTCTAAAGAAAAACAAATGCAGACTCTAATAAATGATCTCCAATTGGGGCAACTTAAACCAACTCAACTACTATTAAAAATGAGAGAGCTTGCTCCTCGTCTTGATGATGAGTATCTTTCTTCGATGTGGAGAAACAAGCTACCACAACATGTACGAGAACTATTAACGGTAACTGATAATGCTGATCTTGCGACTTTAGCTCGAGTAGCTGACAATATCATGGATCAGAAAAGTCAAAATGATGGTTATGTTATGGCTGCAAATGCCAAGTCAAAAACGTCAGAAGACTTAATAGACAAACGTATCAGCAAATTGGAGGATTTAATTCTTTCATTTACAAATGAGATTAAAGCAAGATTAGATACGGTAGAGAAGATGGTCAACCAACGATCAAGATCTCGTTCTCGTTCCAAAACACCAGGAATAGTTGAACCCTGTTATTATCATAAGAAATTTGGAGAAGCAGCAACTAGGTGCGTGTTTGGTTGTCCATTGATGGGTAAATTCCTGTCAAAAACAAAACAGGAAAACTAAGTCATATGTCAACTTTAGAGGCAGAGATTGACAGTGCACAACCAATGCCTCAAAAAGAACTTAGGCTGCATATCCAAGATAGAAAAACTAAAATAAATTACTTAATTGATTCTGGTTCTGTAGTATCTGTATTACCGCGAAGATTATTTCCAGGTAGCAAGCTAAAAGAATCTACAAATTTAAAATTATTTGCAGTTAATGATTCACAAATTCCGTCATATGGCAACAAAATAGTTGAGCTCGATTTGGGATTGCGTCGTGCTTTTAAATGGTACTTCCTAATTGCAGATGTAGTAGCTCCTATAATTGGTGCAGACTTTCTAGTGTATTATGAATTAATGGTGGATCTAAAAAACAAAAAACTAGTGGATTCAAAAACAACTATTTCAGCACAGGGTATGTTGAGTCAACCTGAAGTTTCTGGTATCTCCACAGTTTCAGGTCAGACAATCTTTCACGCTCTATTCAAAGAATTTGTTGAGATTACACAACCTAGAAGAAATCCAGATACTATAACAAAATCCACGGTTTGTCATTACATCACAACTATTGGACAAGCAAAAAGTGAGGGAGAATGGAGAACGTGTGGTGACTTCAGAAGATTGAACGCACAAACGGTTCCAGATCAATATTCTCTACCACTTATTCAGAGTCTATTTGAAAAACTTCATAATAAAACAATCTTTTTAACGCTGGATTTGGCTCGCGCCTATAATCAAATACCAATGAACAAAGAAGATATAGAAAAGACTGCAATCATAACCCCATTTGATTTATTCGAGTATGTATTCATGCCATTTGGTTTAAAAAACGCAGCGCAAACTTGCCAAAGATTTCTTGATTCAATTTTTCGAGATTTGGATTACGTGTTCTAAAGATGGATACAAACCTCCTCAAAAACGAGTTGAAGCGATCAAGAATTATCCAAAGCCTAAAACAGTATCAGAACTTCGTCGTTTCGTCGGAATGATAAACTATTATCGGTGTTGCATTCCGAGGTTAGCAGAGAAACAGGTACCTTTAACTGAATATTTAAAGAAATCATTGAAAAATGACAAGACAATCATTGAGTGGTCAGAAAAAGCGACAAAAGCTTTTGAAGAAAGTAAAGACAGTTTAGTGAAAGTTACTCTTTCTGCTTATATATCACTAGACGCTCCTTTGTCACTTACTACAGATGCTTCAGACGCAGCAATATGTGCATCATTAGAACAACTAGAAGATAATGAATGGAAACCCATTGGTTTTTTTTCAAGAAAACTGTCTAAGTCAGAACAAAACTACAGTACCTATGATAGGGAACTTTTAGCGATTTATGCTGCAATTAAACATTTTCAACACATTCTTGAAAGTCGTCCATTTGTCATCAAAACAGATCACAAACCATTGACTTTCGCTTTTAAACAAAGATCTGATAAAGCCTTACCTAGACAACTTCGCCATCTTGATTTTATATCTCAATTCTCAACAGAAATAATTCACATTAAAGGTAATGATAATACAATAGCAGATGCTTTTTCAAGAATTTTCGCAATTGGAATGCCAACAGTACTTAGTGCAGCTAGAATAAGTGAAGAACAAAAGATGGATGAAGAATTAACACAGATTCTCAATGATAAAATGTCTTTAAGACTGCAAAAGCTAGTCATAGAAGATAAGGATGTATATTGTGACGCTTCGACTGGTGTGGTTCGATCTTATATTCCAGCTTCACTTCGTCGTCAGGCATTTGATGTAGTTTACGGTCTTGCTCATCCCAGTGGTAGAACTACCTGTAAACAATTAAAAGAAAAGTTCATTTGGCCAGAAATTCGTTCTGATGCTATACAGTGGTCAAGAGAATGTGTTTCATGTCAACGTGCCAAAGTTCATAGACACAATAAATTAATTCCTAATAAAATAGATGTACCAGACAACCGGTTCAATCATATTCATATCGATATAATTCATTTACCGGAAGTGAGAGGATACCAGTATTGTTTGACAATCATCGATCGATTCTCGAGATTTCCAATGGCCATTCCGCTCAAGGATGTAACTGCTCAAACGGTCGCCGATGCCTTCTTCAACAACTGGGTCTGTCTATTTGGTACTCCTTTAACAATTACCCCTGACCAAGGTTCACAATTTGAGAGTGCCTTATTTAATGCTTTATTAAATACTGTCAGTGCCAAAAGAATTCGTACAACACCTTATCATCCAGCCTCTAACGGTTTAGTTGAAAGGTGGCATCGTACACTAAAAATTGCTTTGATGTGTCATCCAAACATTCCATGGGTAGATGTACTCCCATCAGTATTACTTGGTTTACGAACTGTATACAAAGAGGATTTAAAAGCTTCACCAGCCGAGCTGCTGTTTGGTACTACATTACGAATTCCTGGAGAATTTTTCGTCCATGAAGACCTGTCGGGAAATCCTGAAAAATTTGTCGAAAAACTATAAAATATATATACTATATTTTTAGATTCTGATATTACTTAGTACAAGCCTTATGTAGATATTTCACCATGTCTTTCGGTCATATATTTATGAGTTGTCAATTGTTGTTATTAAAACTAAGTAAAAAATAATTTTAAAAATTTGGGATTTTTATCCATTACCCAGATAAAAAAAGGGCACTAGTATTGCTATAAAAAAAATGTAATAAATTTTATTTAATTAATGAATAAAAAAAAAAAGTAACTGCTGAGATTTGAACCAGTCACCAAAAGATTCGTAGACAGAGAATTTACCCCTGAGCTATCGTTCTATTTACTGGAATGGAAGGTAAAGTAATATTTGAAGTCTTAAGTGGGGTGGGCTTGCCCTACATAACACAGAGGGAAGATTATTTTGTTATTTGTCTCATTTCTATCTACTGTGATAGATAGGACTTCGAAAAGTCCCTACAACTGTTTGTGAGATTAAGGCTGCTGGGACAATAGAGGTTTTATTGCCCAAGAAAATTTTTTAAAAAACTCTCTTCAGGTACCAAGTTCCAGGCCTTTCGGGCAGTCCTAATATTCTTTGAAAAAATTTTGTTATATTATTAAATATTATTTTTTAATTATTTAATTATTAAATATTAAATATATATTATTAACATCATAAATATCATTATCGAAGCCTTTGACTCATTATCATCATGCATAATTAAATTCTCTTTTTTTTCCTTATGAACATCGTTATTTGTTACAAAAAAATTGCTTCGGTCGTACATCATTTTTACTCTCCTTTAGTGTGATTGCGTATGAAATTCGTCCTAAAAAAATTCATTATTACAATTAATTAAATAAAAAAAAACATTGATAGGCTTAACCATAAAACCTACGTTTCCGTAGTCGAGCGTGTTACCTCTGAACTGTTACAAGAATATCAAATTGGTTTTATATCTTTTATATATGTTGCGAACAGTGCTGGACCTTTTCTATTTAAAAATTTGTGCTTGAAAATAAACTGGCTTAGGATTCTTATAATAAAAGTAAAAGAGAACACGAATCTTATCTCTTTTCTCTCTAGATTAAGGGGCGTGGCTGAAATAAACCGTTGCAGCGCCATCACAGAAAGTTTCATATTGTGACCTGAGATTACCGACATGTTGACCGAAACTTCGTCCGGATTTTTAACACAGCATCGGACTTCTATACTGGTCTCTCTTCTCTGCTTTTGGTCATCTTTTCTGATGTATTGTAGATATCTTTCAGTTTATTTAAAAGTCGACTATACAGATATCTTTCAGGCAAATATATGAAGAGCTTAATGTTGACTTCATAAAGTTATCCTACTCATGAAAAAATTTTTTTATTCTAGTTGGGAATAGATTTGAGTTCTGTTCGCAGTGTTCTGATTGACAGCTTAAGTTGATCAATAGTAAGAATTTGTTTATGTAAATTTGTTATAAAAATTGAATATGTTATGAACAAATGAAAACGGGGTTTATGCAACATATCCGATTTCTTTAAACCATAAATATTTTCGCTTACTAAAAAAAGTTCCTAACTGTATATCATAAATAGAAACAAACGCTCTTTGTTCATAATGACATAACTTGTTACAAACAATTGAAAAATCGAAATATGCTATCGATTAGATTTTTTTCAACATGAAATGTTTTCTTTTGCTGAAGTAAGTATTATCAACAACGTAAAACGAAGAGAGATGAATTCTTTCTGTTCATAACAATTGAATTTGTTATAAAAAATCGGAAACGAAATCTATGCAACATCTTCGAGTTCTTCCAATGAGTAGTTTTTCCTTTCGCTAAAAAAGAGCTACTCACCACGTACATTTTACACAATTTGTAACTTCATTTTAGTGAAAATTTAAATTAAAAAAAGTTACTTATCATGTATTATCAATAAATCAATTCGCTTACACATACAGCAATATTTTACAGACGATATTGAAAATATCAATTATATATAATTTTATTATTATTGATCAAAGATAAAAAAAAGAATCGTTTTAAAACATAAAAGAAGTAACTCTTTAGCCTGATTGGCGGCGGCAAAAGTTGTCATTGAAGGTTTAAGGCGAAATATACGTGTATTTCGCCAAATTGCGTTTTGTTATCTCAGTTCAATTAATACATACAGACGGAAGGCAATGATATGCATAATAAAATAAAGAGACTACTTTGTTCACTCAGACTATGAAATAACACGGACCATATTAAAAGTTGAGAATATTATTTCTCAAACTACAGTTTTTTTTCTAACAGAGTTAGAATATTTTTTGAAAACTGACGGTTACAAAATCATATTTTCCAAATCTAACAAAACTAACTCAAACGTAGAAAATCTTAGATTATCAAAAAAAAAAGCTTTACAGTAGAAAAATAAATTTGTAACTCCGAATTATTTACTATTTCAAATTAAATCATAATAACAATACTGATACGTCATGCCTAAAAAAAATCTATCCTGTCTAAAAACACTAAAGATGCTACGCGAAAGAAAAAAATGCGGGCTACAGAATCCGAAGCTTCAAAACATCAACGTTCACACGCCGATAGTGTACGTCATGCAGTTGCACAATGTAATGGATCAGATGACTTTCGAGAAGCACGTTTAACAGATGATCGTCTGCGACATGCAGTTGCACGAAGCCGACAAACAATTGATTTTGCAGCAACGTTTAAAAAACGACCGGATACAACATGTTGTCTCAACATGTGAAGAGACAGAAGAAGCTAAAAAGCAATGTTTACTAGATGACCGCATACGGTATGTGGTTTTACGAAATCAAGAAATAGACGAATCTAAAGAGGAACGTTTAGAAAAAGACTTCATACGACATCAAAATCAGTGCACTGCGGCGAACCGAGAACAGCACGATTATCGTGTCAAAACTCAAAATAGTCGTTATTATTTACGGCAACGACAAAAAAAAGAGAGTCTAGCTCAACATCGTAGGCATGTTAAATTATCACGTGAGAGAGAAAACCTTTTATGCATTGACAGACAAAAAAAAACTGTAATGCGAGACATTGAAAGTAACGAAGACAGGCAAAGATGACTGAATGCCGATCAAGCTAGACGACCTATTAGATGTTGTATATTATGGTAAAACAAATATAATAGTTCAATTATAATCCTACAATAAATTATTCGATTGGAGCCGAAATAGGTACTACGAATATTGTATGTACTACTCTTCGATATCTCAGGCGCGTTTGATAATGTATGGTGGCCCTTAGTCCTCGAGGGACTAAAGTCACGAGACTGCCCCAAAAATATCTACAAGGTAATGCAAAATTACTTTACAGACCGCACAGTTAGCCTATCATGGGGAACTGGATCAACCACAAAAGTGGCCACGCGTGGATGCCCCCAGGGATCTGTGTTCGGCCCACTATGTTGGAACATCATGTTCGATGATCTCTTAAAAACACTTGATCAGTCCGAACATGGGAAACGATACGCAGCATTCGCAGACGATCTAATCGTCATCATTGATGGCAATTCAAGGGAAGCACTTGAAGCCAAAGGACAGGCAGTTGTTGACACAATACTCAACTGGTGCAAGAATGCCAAGCTCGAGCTGTCAAAAACGAAGACGGAAGCAATCTTCATGAAGAGAGAAGTAAAACTCAGAGGCAAGAGGAACTACAGAGATAAAAACAATCCCAACTACAGAGAATATAAGCCACACCTAAGAAGAAAGAAAGATAGGCATGAATGCAAACCGCCTAAGATTACAATAGATGGCAACAGGATAAAATACCCAGAAACGGTTAAGTACTTGGGGGTCTGGTTCGGAAGAGATCTTAACATCTCCATGCATATCCATAAACGACGGGCGCAAGCGGAAAAGTTATTCCACAAAATAAGGCGCCTTTCGCGAATGCGATGGGGACTTAATTACCATACCTGCCTAACCCTATATAGGGGGTGCTTCCTGCCGGTGATTGCTTACGCGTCTCCGGCATGGAGCGACTTGTGCAATGCTGAGGACTGGCTGACGCTTGCGGCCGCACAGAGGAGCGTCTTGGGAGTTGTGGCGCATGCTCGCGCATCCACTCCGAGAGACGGCCTCTGCGTGGCGGTGGGCGTCCCGCCTATACGCATAGCGATTAATGATCTCAACGCGCGATATACACTTCGCACCGATGAAGTAGTAACGTACAACGGCACTAGAATCTCCCTAAACGACAATACGTCAGGGGAGACGACGACGCCGATTATGAACCTCAGATTGCAGACGACCAAAATATGGCAGGCAGAATGGGATGCATCTGAGACGGGCCGCAAAACATATCACTTCTTCCCGAATATAGCAGACAGGCTCGATAACCAGTGGATACGCCTGAACAATATAATGACGCCAATATTCACAGGACATGGTATATTCCGAGCACACCGTGCACAATATGCCACCGAAGCAGACCCAACCTGCCCTAATTGCAATAGGGGAGATGAGGACACAGTGGAGCACTTCCTGCTGCACTGCCCCGCATACAAAGACAGACGCACGAGCCTCATGGCGGTCATAAAATCGGAAACGAATGTTGACCTCAGATCAACATGGTCTGAAATAGCGCCGAAATTTGTCCAAACGAAGGACACATGTAGGGCCCTCGAACAATTTGTCAAGCTTTGCGGAGAACAAAAATTGTTCGAGGAAGTTAAAAGAATCCGCAATGCGGTAAGAGAGAAAAGGAAGGTAGCGCGAACTGGAGTGGCAACGCCCAGCACACAGAGTGCACAGAACCCTTCATCCCGCAGAAGTAGTAGGTCATTACCATTACCAGCGCCGTAAGAAAGCATAGCTCGTGAACTTCATTGATCCACACCTGGGTGTTGTCGGAGCACCTAGGCACAGGTTGCAGGCCTGCAATCTTCGCAGAACACCTGAAACCTGTGGATCAAACGGATAGGGATTCCCACCTAACAATGCTCAACAAACATTCAAATTCAAATTTTAACTTTTAACTTCAAACACAAACTTTAACTTTAACCTCC